AATGACAAGTATATAATGTAATAAGATTCTATATAAACTATTTTGTAAATGTTAGGTATAAGATTAATATAACTTACTAATTATTATTCACTTTGTTACTAATCACTATTTTTAATATATACAATTGCACTGGTATTTATTGATCATCTAACTTGTCACTGTTTCATTGATTTTACATGATTTAACAACTATATGTTCATCGTGATAGTGATTGAATAGTATTATGCATACTATTTATATTGCATTGCATTGATTTCAATTATTGGTTCTCATAATCTATTGAGTTGTCAGCTCACTCATGATTTTACATATTTTCAGGAAGGGGTTAGGATCTAGTGGACTGAGGGTAGATCATGAATTTAGGTTTTATTTTATTTCTGCATTTTCTCTTGTTTTATTAATTTGTAGTAAGGAACTTAGAAATTTGAAATGAATATAATGATTGATCTCTTGACTTTTGTATATGAATTTTGAGGGATGAATATAATTTTATAGTTTGATGTATGTGATTTTTAGTCATTTTTGCTGTATTAATTTATATTGATGAATTTATAGAAACTCTGATAAATAAATAAATAAACAATTCTTAAAAATTTAGACCCTAAGGTGTTACACATGCCATTGCCGTTAGCCACCACCATTGTCTATTGTTGCCTTGCCTCGCATCGTTTTTTGCCCCTCACCTCATAGTTCTCACCAGCTCGACCCCATCGCTAGTTATTATCACTATCAATCACCACCTTGCTTTGTTGCCATCGATCACAACCAGTGACATATATAGTATGGGGACCTTGGGGACACGTGGGGGGGGTCACGTGTTCCCCCTAAAAAAAAAAGCCTGTTTAAAAAAATTAAAACTATACTTAACACAATTATTTAACCGAATTTTTTAATCTAATTTAGGACTTTCGCAGTTCCGCTTTGGCTTCCTCTCCACGGGTGCTGCGACTTCCTTTTCTCCCTATCGTCAGCTCTTCCGCTTCGGCCCCACTACGGTGCTACGGCTTCACATCTACGCCTAGCGCCCAGCGAGCCTGGAGAGCGTGTATTCGTCCCTTATAGCGAAGAGCCGGAGATGCGACATTACGAGACTGCCGAGAGCCAGAGGAAAAGACAAATTTTTTTAGACAGTAATCTTTACTATGTTATTTTATATTATTTTGGTTGATTTCAAACTTTCAGTTTAAACTTTATGTTTCTAAAATCTAAACTGATTAAGGAACAAAACATGTAAACAATCCGGTTGATTTTGATTTGATTCTTCATAGAAGAAGTTAGTCTTCTCTTAGAAGTTAGAATATTCAAAATTTTCAAAACTATAAAAGATCATTTAAAAAAAAAACAATAGTAGATCTTTTAGGTATTGAACAAAACATGATTGTAGATAATTCTTTTTCTAATAATCTTCTTCAACACTTAACAGTTTGTCAATGTTAGCAATACATTCATGTTTCATACCTTCATCTCAGTTAGTTTTGGGTATAATTTGATATATGAATTTTTCTTAGCAATCAGATCTTGTTTCAAGTGATCTTTGAGTACAAGTTCGAACACCATGGAGAGATATTTCAAGTGATCTTCGAGTTCAAAAACATCAAATGATACAGATGAAATTGCAATAAGGTTGAAGTGCAAAATGAAAAACGCATTCGAATGGATGTTAATTTACCAAAAACAAACAATGTGGAAATAAGTGTAGAAAATATTCCATCTAATCCAGGTCTACGATTTCCTATTAATGATTTTAATCATAACATTCGAGATGAAATTTGGAGAACATATTTACAAAGAGGGACATTTCAACCTCGTAGCCATGATTTCCCGAAAAGTAAATATGGGATGAAAGATAGGCGCTTTAATCCTAGTTGGTTTGACAAATATTCTGATTGGCTAGAGTATAGCATATATAAAGACAAAGCATATTGTCTATATTGTTATCTTTTAAGAACATCCGGGAGAGGCAACGAAGAGGAAGAGGCATTCAATAAAAATGGATTTTCAAATTGAAAAAAAAAAACAAACAAATTTGATCTTCATGTTGGAAGTCATAACAGTACGCATAATAATGCTAGACGAAGTTGTGAAGACCTAATGAGACAAAGCCAACATATTGGATTTCTTTAACAAAAATAGTCAGATCAAGCTATAATTGCATATCGTACCCGCCTCAATATTTTTGTTGATTGCATAAGATTTCTTTTGAAACAAGGACTAGCTTTCCGCGGACATGACGAGTCTTCTACATCCAAAAATTAGGATAAGTTTCTAGAATTAGTGCAGTTTTTAGCAGAACATAACAAAGACAGACGATGCGGTGCTAAAGAATACACATGAGAATTTGAAATTAATTGCACCTGATATTTATAAAGATATTACAAGGGGTTTTGCTATTGCAATCACAAAGTTAATATCTGATGAGATTGGTGAAAAGTTTTATTCAATTTTAGTTGATGAATCACGTGACGCATCAGGTAAAGAGCAAATGGCAATTGTAGTGCACTTTGTTGACAGTAAAGGTGTGATTATATAACATTTTCTAGGGATTTCAGATGTACCAGATACAACAGTGAACAATCTAAAGATAACAACTGAACAACTCCTTTCATCATATGGTTTGAGCATTTTTAAAATACGGGGTCAAGGTTACGATGGTGCTAGCAATATGAGAGGTGGGTTCAATGATCTAAAGGCTCTATTTCCGAATGAAAATACTTCATCACATTACATTCATTGTTTCTCACATCAGCTTCAATTAACATTGGTGGCAGTTTCAAAAGGTCATGTTCAGATTGCTTTGTTTTTTTATCATAATTTCAAATATGATGAATATTGTTGGTGATTCTTGTAAGCGGCGTGATCAGGTATGAGAAGTACAATACGAGAAGGCATTAAATGCATTACAAAGTGGAAAATTGTTAACAGGGCGAGGCTTAAATAAAGAAATAACCCTTAAGTGTGCAGGTGAAACACGGTGGGGTTCACATTACGAATCAATAATAAGGTCAATCACAATGTTCTCTATAGTGATTGATGTTCTGGAAATTATTTTGGAGGATGGTACAAGCTTAGAACAAAAAGGTGAAGCGTATGCTTTATTAGAATCATTGCAGACATTTGAATTCTCTTTTTGCCTTCATTTGATGAAAGATATACTTGATATCACTAATAAACTATTGCAAGCTTTGCAGCGAGAAGAATAAGATATTGTAAATGTTATGTCTTTGGTTTTCAATATGTAAAATGAGATTGTAGGATATGAGAGATAATAAGTGGGTTGACTTCATCAACAGTGTAACTTCATTTTGTGAGCAGTAGAAAATAAATGTTTCGCATATGGATGATAAATGAGTTGCTCGTGGTCGTCCTCGCCGCAGAGCTCAAGATATAACAAATTTATATCATTTTATGGTTGAAATTTTCTACATAGTGCTTGATATGCAACTTCAAGAGCTAAACAATCGTTTTACAGAAGCAAATATCGAACTACTTTTATGTATTACCTGTTTGAATCCTAATAATGGTTTTAATGCATTCAACAAAGATAAGTTGATTAGAATAACATAGTTTTATCCAGTTGATTTTAGTCATTTTGATCAGACGATTCTTGAAAATCAATTGGATACTTATATTATGGATATGCGATCTGATGATCATTTTCTTCATTAAAAGATATAGGAAGTCAGTCTTGTTGAGAAAATGATCCATAATAGGAAAGATATTATATATTATGCTGTTTTTAGATTACTTGAACTAGCATTGGTATTACCCGTTGCTACAACAAGCGTCGAAAGAGCATTTTCTGCTATGAATATTATAAAGAATCGGCTGCAGAATAGGATTGGAGATCAATGGATGAATGATTTATTAATTGCTTATATTGAGAAATATATTTTAGATTCTATTGATAATAAAGTAATCATTCAACTCTTTCAAAATATGAAGAGAAGATGTTATAAATTATAAGTTGTTTACTATCTTATATTTAATATTAAACATTTTTTGGAAAATATTTTAAAACAATTTTTAAAACTGCCTATACCGGTCCCAAGCCCAGATGAAAAAAGTTGAGAGAAAATTTTAATAAATTAATCCCCCCCCCCCTTCAATATATTTTCTGGCTCCGCCACTAGGGACACGGCCCCCCGTTGGCTTTTGGTAATAACATGTAATTAAGTATATTTATGATACATTAATTGTAGAATTAATAAAAATAAATTTTCCTTTTTTCTTCTTAATACACTAATGCAATCCTGACATCCGCCTATCACCCTAACTGGCCTAACGCGACTCTAAAACACACACGGTAGAGAAGCCCGAGTGCCTCTTCATTTCGTTCGCTTCCCAACGTCGAACGCAGTCCTACCGAACGCCTTTGGCGGTTATGCTGCCTTCCAAGCCTGAACGCTGTCGAGGTTGCCCTTTTCCCGACGTTCCAGTCTTCTGCCTTCCAAGAGAAGTCCAAGCTTTCTAGTTTTTTGTAGACCGCTTGAAGATATATTTAATAGTATCAACAATGAACTGATTGTACACGATATCAAAAAATGAAGACTCGAATGGAGAAATTATAGATGATATGTAACTTTTTTAGCTTTCTCATATGGACAATCTTTTTATAATAAATCTAATTGATTTAAAAAAATTAAAACTGTCAATGTCGGTCCTAAGTCCGAATGAAAAAGGTTGAGAGTTTTTTAAATACTTTAATGATTTGTGTCCCCCACATGAAAAAAATCCTGCCTTCGCCCTTGATCGCAGCCTTTTCTCAACTCATGTCACTATTGAATTTTATATTGAATGATTTTTTTTCAAATAAAAAAAAATCTATTGCATTTTTTAAACTCAACGTAATAGCTCTAAAATATTTTAAATATATCTCATCTATTTTAACAACATGTTTGTACTTCTTTAATAACTAATAAAAGTTGAGGCTTAAATTTAAGAGTATTATTAGTTTTTTAGTTCGTTATATATATAATTTAATTTTAAAAGAATGCGAACCTGCATACCTTAACCAGTCGTCAGCGCCAAACCAAATCGGCAAATCCGAATGCTTAGTAGTGACAGTGCGCCGCGTGCTCCGTTTTGAGTTACTTGCCGATGCCATGATATCCAACAGAACCTTCAGCGGCAGCAGCGCGGGCACGTTAGGTCACTCGAGACAGCTTGCCTTCAACTCCGGGCGCGGCGCTTCATCGTTCCGATTATCTTTCTTTTCCCGAAAAACATTTATGAATTCTTTAAGTCATCGATTCAGTAGGGATGCTTTCTCCAGAGATGAAAAGGGTTCAGAGGTAGAGAAGAGAAGGAAGGTACAGAGGAGCTCCAGTAATGAAGACGATCCACGGAGGGAGGAGAAGGGGCTTTCCGGAATTTATGTGCCGAGGCAAAAGTACATCTCTGTTTCGAAGGCAGAGCTTCTCCAAGCTATTCTGGAGATGTTTGAACTGAAGGAAGATGCCGACAACTTCCTTAAGTTATCCGTGTAAGTCCTACTCCTCGGCTTCTGTTTTCCTGAGCTAATGCGACAATCTGACATTTTATTTTGGGAAATATGTAGAAACCCCTACAGTTTAGCCTTTTGATTAAAAAAAGGGAAATTTACATACATACCACTTATATTTTTTTCGCATCACTCATATATTTGATTTCTACCACTTATATTTTATATGAAAATGAACTGTGAGCGATATGCATGTAATATTAAAGTCTCATGTGTTAAATATGTAAATATAGTGGTATAAAGTGGTATGTATGTAAATCTCCCACCTTAAAAAAATAGTTTAATCTATGTTTGAATATCCAAGGTTTCATTTTCATTTCAACCAAATTGTAAAGAGGAATCCATATGCTATTTACTGGTCTATGGACTTATTACCGGCCTACCTAATTCTAAAGGCTATATTGCCATTCTGATTACCATTGATTGCCTATCTAATTATGCCCATTTTTGGTCATTTACTTATAACATAATCTGCTTCTAGAGTAATCTTTTTGCAAATATAGTTGTTAGATTGCAAGATTTTCCAAAAATTATAATGTCAGATAGGAATGGTATTTTTTAAAGTAATTTTTAGCATCACTTTTTTTTGTTTTAAGTGGCACCACACTCCATTATAATACTGCATATCATGTTTAGACAGATAGTCAAACAAAGGTTCTCAATTGCTGTTTAGAAAAATATCTTTGTGCCTATGCCTTCACCCCCAAATTATGGTCAACATTCCTTTGTTGGGCCGAATTATGTTACAATACATCCTTCCATATGGCCATACAAAGGTCATCACATCAGGCTTTATATGGGAGATTACCACTTTCCATATCATTTAGCTTTGCGGTAATTCTGACATCCACGTCTCTATATTTTATTGTCACGATCCGGCCCGGTGAGCTCGCATATACGAGACGGGAACGGAGGTCGGACGATAATCTAAAATGTTTAATCTCTAAAACTATCACCTTAACATTTGAAAGAGCCACTAAAACAATAATATTTTAAATACATAAACATAACCTCAAACAAAAATTCATAAAATAACCTTTCTTCCGGTGCTCTTCTCCTACGGTAAACATTTTCACCCATTCTACTCATTTTTTATATAAAGTAATTACACCTGAAAAATGTTAATAACTAACAGTAAGCTAAAGCTCAATAAGTAAAACACGATTCTAAACTACAGTAATCAAGATAAACTGAACAATATGTTAGATGTCACATTTCATTTAAAACATAATATAAATTGATTTCTAATAACATATTATTTGAACATATGCTTAATCCATAAACTTATATCATTCATATTCATTTTTATTCATCATATCAATATTCATATCTTTATCTTTCTTATTTCGTATATATTACAATCGTTACAGGAGCCACTGTCTTGTACCATAAATGTACTCCTTTACCATTTTCTTTTCCATATCATTTATTATTTTAATGTGCACGAGAACAGCGTCCCCAGCTAGTATCATCAGGGGGTGAGCTCCATCAATTCAGCATGCACATACAAGCATTCAATATAACAATCATATCATATTTATTTCATCTCATTTCATCTTATTTTTATAACATATGAACTTTATAATATAATGCCATGATGTATAACATATAAATTGCTTGATCAATCATAGGGCAAGAGTAAATATTTTATAAACATGCTTGATCTTTCAAAACATATAACTTGAGAGAAAATAAATGTATCACTGCAATAAAGAATCATGAGTACTTACCTCGATTTAAAGGATTTGATTACCCCGCTCGAACACCTTTCTTCGAGTTCCACAATTATCACTTATAAGCATTAATTTAGTATCCAACGGCTAAAGCTAATCATCTCAAAATTAAATCAATCTATTCCTACAAAATTTTCAAATGTTCTTCTTCTCTCCTTCTCTCTAATTTAAAACATAAGGCATGTATATTCTAAAAATTCATCCAAGTAATTCCTTTACCATTACTTAAAATAATTCAAAATAATTTTTATTTTCCAATTTAACCTAAAACCCTAAATTTGGAAAATTCATTTTCATTGATTCCCTCATAAAAACATGTCAAACTTTCCCTTACACCTAATTAATAATTAAATTAATATATTTTCGGATTTAAATTAAATTAAAATTATAAAAATGATATTTTGTATAAAAATCCTAATTTATGTCTTTAGAAACCTTCCTATAATCATTGAAACATCGCTTCTCAAGAAATTTCTTAAAATTTCAAAAATATGAAAAAGCCCTAATTTTTTTAACTCCATATTTTGAAGAAAAAGCCTCATTTCCAAGCATAAAAGTATCCTTTAAACCTATTCTATCATCCTCTTAAAGAAATTTAAAATTTCCCTCAAACCCTAGATTTCTTCATTGAGAAAATCCTAAGAAAAAACATAAGAAATTGTTCATAAGAGCTTACCTTACTCTTTCCTACGATTTCCCTTCGATCTCCTTCACAAACGGCCGCCGAAAAACTGCCCTAAGGACGCCGCCGAAACCTCCCCGTCGCCCCTTCCGCGCACCTCTTCTCCTTCGGTTCCGCTTGGTTTGGCCACTCGATTGAATGGTATTCGGTCCCTTTAATTCCCCTTAGTTGGCTAAAAGACTATTTTGCCTCACTTAAACAATCCATGCTTTAATAATGGTTAGGGGTACTTTGGGTATATTATAACTTCAAATTTTTTTTAATTTCAAAATTAAGCGAATTTCAATATAGGTTATTTATATCAAATTGTTCAGATTTTTGCGTAGAATTTTATAAAATTATTTTCGTCAAAATCCGACAACCTTTAAAAATTCACTTAAAACTCGTCGCGATGCATCAAAAAGCATGCGAGGTCTAAAAATAATTTTTATTTTCCAATTTAACCTAAAACCCTAAATTTGGAAAATTCATTTTCATTGATTCCCTCATAAAAACATGTCAAACTTTCCCTTACACCTAATTAATAATTAAATTAATATATTTTCGGATTTAAATTAAATTAAAATTATAAAAATGATATTTTGTATAAAAATCCTAATTTATGTCTTTAGAAACCTTCCTATAATCATTTGAAACATCGGTTCTCAAGAAATTTCTTAAAATTTCAAAAATATGAAAAAGCCCTAATTTTTTTAACTTCATATTTTGAAGAAAAAGCCTCATTTCTAAGCATAAAAGTATCCTTTAAACCTATTCTATCATCCTCTTAAAGAAATTTAAAATTTCCCTCAAATCCTAGATTTCTTCATTGAGAAAATCCTAAGAAAAAACATGAGAAATTGTTCATAAGAGCTCACCTTACTCTTTCCTACGATTTCCCTTTGATCTCCTTCACAAACGGCCGCCGAAAAACCGCCCTAAGGACGCGGCCGAAACCTCCCCGTCGCCCCTTCCGCGCACCTCTTCTCCTTCGGTTCCGCTTGGTTTGGCCGCTCGATTGAATGAGGGACCGAAGGTATTCGGTCCTTTTAATTCCCCTTAGTTGGATAAAAGACTATTTTGCCCTCACTTAAACAATCCATGCTTTAATAATGGTTAGGGGTACTTTGGGTATATTTTAACTTCAAATTTTTTTTAATTTCAAAATTAAGCGAATTTCAATATAGGTTCTTTATATCAAATTGTTCAGATTTTTGCGTAAAATTTTATAAAATTATTTTCGTCAAAATCCGACAACCTTGAAAAATTCACTTAAAACTCGTTGCGATGTATCAAAAAGCATGCGAGGTCTAAAATGACTTTTTTTCGGGTTTTACATTTATTAACCAATTGTGGCGCACATCTACAAACCCTTCAACAAGACATGCAACAAGTACAACATTGCATGAAAATAATTGCTGATCGCCACTGTAGAGATTTGCAATTTTTATTAAGAGATCTAGTCATGGTCAAACTCCAACCATTCAGAAAATTTTGTTGTCAATCACACACTTTCTAAATTAGACAAACGTTATTTTGCACCTTTCCAATTCAAGATATTACCAGCCTTGTGGCTTACTGCCTTACTCTTCCAACCAAAAGCAAAATTCATCTGGTATTACATATTTCACTTCTTAAACCATTTAAAGGAAATCCTCCATTCATCAACTCGCCTTTACCGAATCTTAGTTACAACAATCAACCACTCATTGTACATTATGCAATTTTAGCCTCTTGCATTATACAACTTTGTGGTTAGCCTCACAGTCAGGTACTATTGCAATTGTAATTGAATATGCTGGATGATTCCACATGGGAAATTTTTTCAGCACTCTCTTCATCTTTTCATCTCTCAACCTTAAGAAAAATGTTATTTTTCACGATGATGGGAGTGTTATACATCAATATATTTTATTGGAATATAAGAGTAGAAAAATATTTTGAAACTTGGTCTATAAACTTGGAAGAGCATTCTACAAATATAAAAATCTATCAAAGAATAAGGAACCAAGAACCTTCCACATCAGCATCACAACCTGCAAAGGACAGTAGCCCATCTTCGGCCAAGGGAAGCCTAGATTGCACGGTTCAGCCCATTGGGTCCATACGTATGGGTTCAACTAGCAATCACTAATTTTTCTTTCTTTTTATCCTATAGTACTATTATTGTAAAACCGATCTACCCAAATTAGCTTAAATACCCCAATTATGTAAAGAAAGTTTATAGAATGAATAATTTCTATTTTAGCTCTTCTCCTCTTCTTCCCTTTTTCTTCTCTTTTGGATTCTACACCTACTCTAAAGGTGCTTTTCTTTCTTGGATTGCCAAGAAGCTTATCAGTTGCCTATGATGAAGACTAATGATTTGGGTGGTGCAGATTGCTAGTTTCCATCCAATTATTCTTTGCAGTATTTCGAGTTTTATTCATTGTTTATTGTTCTCTAAACTAATTTACAAAGAGGAATTATTTTTTAGTCTAGCTTGTTGAATATAATTGTTATGTGGTCCTCGGTGTAATTTCTCCAAAGAACTCTTTCCTGGAAGTAAGATTCTCATTGTTGTGAAATATAGTTTTTTTTTATGTCAAAGTTATTTTTTCTTTTTAATACTTCAAGTCTTAATCTTTCATAACTTGATGAATTTTTTATTAAATATTTTTTTTGCTCCCTTTGGTTATTAATTGCTTAATCGAACTCCTAGACTTTTCTTCTTTCTGGAAGTACTAGTGGTATTGTATTTAACTATAATATAATGGATCAAGCCTTTATGATGTACGTTAAGAAACATGCAGGTGCTTGGATTCCATTCTGCATGCTGAACATAAAGGCATTCTTGAGGAAATGAGAAGCTATTATTCTCCTCATTTACAAGACCAAATTCAGAGAACAAACTTTTCAATACAATCTTGGGAAGCTACATCTGGCCTGCCTCACGTGGCCTCAAACGATTCAATGGGTGTCCGTGGCAAGAAAACAAACTTCCCCGGCAATGGTGAAGATGAGAAACCTGTAGATAACTCGGACCTAGGGAGGTTTTTTGAATCACTTTCTGGTAAAGGTGATAGAAAGCCTTCAATGGACTCACAAAGGTTTGTTGAACTCATCCTACGTAAGTTGTGTATATGCTCTTTTTTTTGTAGTTCTTTTCATTTACTATAAATTTCACCTCTATCATCATTGTGTTTTAAAAACCATTTGAGGCTCTTTACAATTTACCATTTAATCATAATATGAAATATGAATGGTATCTTTATAACTTTATTGATGCTCACTATTAGATAGTGGAGTTAGCTCCTTGTTCATGCTGAGAAATTTGGCCTTTTTTTAATTAACCTTGAGAAGTGTTAACTATGAGTTATTTCATTTCTATTTTTATTGTTCCTTTCACATGCCATTTTTCTATGTCAACGGTAAATTTTCCTTCTCAACTTTAGTTAATAATTTAATATGTCCAAATAATGTTTTCCCTATTTGCTTTTTATTATGGTCCTGATGCATGCTCTGAATCACCAATAGTAGTTCTTTTGACTTGTAGGATTGCCGTTGCAATTCGTTTTCAGCAGTCTTTTATGAAACTTTTACACAATGCACAATTTGAAGAACTATCAGCCCAAGATTTGCTATTGACAAATGCACTAAATAGTGATTATCTGTTGACATTGCCGATATATGTTGACTGGAAGCGTGCATCTGAATCCCATGCGATAATATTCAGGTAAGAACGCTTGTTTTTCAGCTAACAACATCTCTCAGTTATTCCAAGAATCATTTTACTGATAAAATTTGTGATATTTTTCTTTTGAGTGCTCATGGAATTTATATTCAAAATATTTTCTTTTTTAAATGACAATTATTATTTTGTAATGGAACTGATTTAGAATGATCGGAAGAGGGTGAGATGTAGGTTAGGGGTAGGTATGTTTGACCATTGACAAAATGTTTACCATTAGATGAATGCCGAAAAGCTGGTTTTGCTAGAAACTAGAACGAAGAAATACGAAGAGTTTTGTTGCTAATCCATACATTGTGAAGAATCAAAAGATTGGATCTCCATAAAAGAAACTAGATGTTTTCTTCAAGTTAGAAGTCAAAAGGAGGCATTTATGGAGAACATCACTCAGTCAAAAGAAGGAATATCCATTGGAGATGGTATAAAAATTTTTTAGGAGAAAATAAAAAAATAAGGAAGTTCATGATAATTCCTGTCAACCTTTGTTCTTTTTTTTCCCATGCTCTCTTTGCTTTCCAGTGGCTCCATTTCCGTGTTAAATAGTAGTCATTGATGCTATATATTTAGGCTTTCTATGACTAGAATTATTTATGGATAAGACGGTAATTTAAGTAATTCATCAAAATGGGTATTAAACCTCTTAATCATGTTCAAATAAACTTAAAGATATGCAGTACACCAAAAAATTTCCTGACTGAGCTATATTGTCCTGTTAGCTACAACAATAACAAGCCTTTATTCTTCTACTTAGGGTCGGCTATATGAATCATTTCTCTCCATTGTGTCCTATTAAGAGTTAAAATTTCATTTAAATCTAATAAAAAAGCTATTTTTAATATTTTCTAACAGTCTTTTTAGGTCGACCTTTACCTTTCTTAATGTAGGCTAGCTCCAATACATCTACTCTCCTAATCGAGTCATCTGAAGGCTCACATTTTATGTAACTAAACCATCTAAGGCGACTCTCTCTAATCTTATCTACCCCTGCAGCTACTTTAAAATTTTCCCGTATGTACTCGGTTCTCATTCTGTCTTTAAGTGTAAAACCACTAATCAATAAATATCATATGTAGATCCTCCTTACTATCTCCATACTTCTCCATCAAGACTCTCAACAAATGTGTAGTTTTCCTAGTAGGCCTACCTGATATAAATTCAAATTGATTTTAAGGAACATTATAATTGTTGCGTCCTGGAGTATTCACGGCGGTAGAGAAATATAAAGTTTTACGTCTTAGCGTTGTACGAAAATCCGACACACAATCAAATAAGAGAGGAGGTGTGTTACATTTATGGGACACCAAGTTTTTTACGTGGAAAACCCCTGAAAAGGGGAAAAAACCATGGAGCCTAGCCTAATTTAAATGAATCCACTAGTATTGTAGTTGATTACAAATGAGACCCTTCCTTAGGGGAAGACCTTAGCTTGATGTACATCTCATAAAGTACATTACATGGTGAGAATACAAAGCATCACTGCTGATGTGTTTGTTTGGTCTGAAGGACTGTAGTCAGTGGGCGATGTAAGTCGGAAAGATCATAGTCGGCGGGCGACGGAGGTCAGAAGGACTGTAGTCGGCGGGCGACGTAAGTCAGAAGGACTGTAGTCCGGTGTCACTTGGAGTTTGGGTGAAACTCCGGCGTTACTTGGAGGTCCGGCGGAATTCCGGCGCCACTTGGAGGTCGGGCGGAATTCTTGCATCACTTGGAGGTCGGGCAGAATTTTGGCATCATTTGAGCAGAATTCCGACGTTACTTGGAGTTTTGGCGGAATTCCGGCGTCACATAGAAGTCGGGTTGAATTCCGACGTGACTTGAAAATTGGGCAGAATTTCGGCGTCCCGTGGAAGTCGGGTAGAATCCCGGCAGTTGTCGAGGAGGAGTTTCTTCCCTCCTAATCTTCTCTTCTTCTTCTCCTTGCTTGGGCCCCCTCTCCCCTTCTCAAGAGAAATGAGAGGTATATTTATAGATTTCTGGAGTGACATGGCCCGTAAATAGATGAGAGATCATGAGTAAATGTAGAGTGGTTTGGATGGACGACCGATATTGAATCCCTTGATCATAGATTGTTCGTCAGACATATGAAGGTCTTAATGATATCAGAATTTGGCGATCTTGGGCTTGTTGGATTCGTCTCGTCGAGCCGCTCGATTTGACTATAAACACGTCATGTTTGGAAACCGTTTGGTGATCCAAATTATGGTTTGAACCCTCCAACAGTGCTTCAGGTCCTTGATTTGGACCCATTTGAGCTCAGATTGAGTCGAATTTGGTGTTGTTGGGTTCGTATTTTTTAGGCGCTCAGTTCAACTATAAGTTTGCTAAAATCAGAGTTCAGATGATCCCAAAATTAATTTTTGAAGTTTCCAACTTGATTTTGCATCGAGATTCATGCCCAATCAAGATAATTTTTCAATGATATATCAGTTGCCCCCCTATTTTTGGATGTCGAAGCTCCATAACTCCGAAAATTTTTATGTCGACATTTTGCATTGACCAAATTGCAAAAAAATTTGTTCCAAAAATTAAAATATTGCTTAAACTTGATCATAGAGGCCCCGTGTAGCTCCGAAAGTATCAAAATTGAGTCCGAAATATTGAAAAATGTGTTCGGGGACCCAAAAAATGTCGGATTTGGACCGTCCTGGCCGAAAATCAGGCCCGGACAAGCATAGGCAGTCGAACTGGCCGGCTGGCCGCCGCCCGCCGGCGGCAGCACGCGTGCCGTGCACCAACAGGCGCATCCGCGCGCTGTACCGCACAGTTATGGCTTAATTTTTTTTAAAAAAATTCGGTGGGGCCCACTTCATTTCTTTTATCCAAAAAATTCCCAAAAAATTCCAAAAAATTTCAAAAAAAATTTAGAAAATTTGAAAAATTCCATAAAACTATGGAATGTTCTTTTATTCCAAAAAAGTACTATAAATAGCCCCTCAGGGCCAGGGGGAGATTTGCAAATTCTCATTTTCTTCTTCTAACTCTCTAACAGTTGAGGCTTTCCGTTATTTTTGAGTAGGTGACTTTCCTTACTTAATTCAGCGCCCCTCCTTTGATCTTATATTGAGGAGGAGAGGGGGCATATTTGTCTTTTTGAGTTTCTTTTATTTTGAGGCCTATATATAGAGATCCTTGCTATTGTATTGGTATGATGGATTATTAAAAAAAAAATTTCTGCACTTTTGTTCTTTGGGGAAGAACTTTGGTGTGATCCTTATGTGACGAAAGCGTAATATCCATCGGTTGCAGAATGTGTCCGGACTTGTGGTTTGAAGTCCCTAAGTGAGGGTAGCGCAGCACCCATCAGCCGCAGGATGTGTTCGGGCTCATGGTTTATTTTTCTTTCCGGACACTTCATTTCTCCTTCTCTAATTCCCCTTCTTTCTTCTAGCCCTCGCTCTACCTCTCCTTCTCCCTTGACCGCCGGCCAAACTGTCCATAGCCACCGGCCAAGCTTCCCTCTTCCCCTCCTCCACCCGTCGGCCACTCCACCACCACCTCCTAGCTGGCCACCTCCCCTATTCCCTCCACCTAGCCGCTGGCCCAAGATCCAATTTCCCCTCCTTCCACCACCACTAGCTCCAATCAATCCCTCTCCATTTGCCTCCAAATTTTGAATTACTCTTTAGTGCTTTCCTTAATGGATGCAAATCACAAAAGGATAGTATTAAAATCTGATTTCTTTTATTTGAAATTTGAAATTTCTTTTCTAATCTATCTTGTTTCATTTTAGGAAAGTTTTTTAAATGAAACCTATTTGAATTTCAATTAGGATTTGATTTGGGCCCTTTGATCCACCCCCAATCATCTCCATTAATGCCACCCCTTGCATGGCCAGTCCCCTTGCTCCCCTCCATTCATAAATTTCCTACATTAGATCACTATTGATTTTGAAAGTATTCAACTTTGAATTCAAATAATTTTGAATTTCAAATACTTTTCAAATTAATACAACTATTTTAGGAAGCATTCCAATTGATGCAAATATGAAATTAATTCATATTTGAAGTCATCAATCAATAATCAATGCAAAGATTCACATACGTTGAATGTGGACGCTCCCCTCTTCCCTCCATTGGCCGGCCCCCCCTTCCCTTCCTTTCCTCTCTCCAATTAAACCCGTATCTCATTATTAAATCCCATTAATACCTCCCATTAGCCCCCCCTAGTCCCCATTAAGGATAGTTTGAATTTCAAAATATTCCCGCCCTTCTTTTAGGAAATCTGAAATTAAATTCAGATTTCTTAATTTCTCCCCCTCCTCTCTCTTGGCCGCCCCCCTTATTCTCTTCCCTTCTCTATTCTAATTAATTCCTTCATAAAATTGTAACTCTATTTATATAAGGGATTAATTAAGTAACCCCTTCCCTCTCTTTTCCAATTAATTTAAAACTTCTAATTACATGACCACCCCCCCCACCCCCCCTCCCTTCTTCCTGTCCTGCATCAGTGAGACCTAGTTGAAGCTTTCTGATTCTTTCACACTAACAGTTAATTTCTCTTTGGTTCCATCGGTCATGTTCCATCCGTTTTGCTTGAAGTCTTTGCCCCTCATTTTATATTGCTTGATTGCTCTCAAGCGTGACCTAAAGCTCTTTTTCATTTTTATGTGCTTGCATGCACACATTTCTCTCCCTCCCTCTCTCTCTCTATATATAAGTATTAAAACTCATATTTTAGGCAAGCAGTGAGGAATACTTATTATATAAATATTATGTCATGGCATCCCTCAATTATGTTTAAGATTTAGTAAGTATTTTTAGCCAAATGTATTTATATCAAATTAGCAATCACCCTTAATTAATTTGTGAAAAGGTTTAATTCGTTGTTACTAAATTTAATATTTTTTAATCATTTCAATAAATACTCTGTACTTAAGAGAGGAAGATCGTCTTCCTTAGGCCTCTTAAAAACCCTTAAAGCTCTCCATTTAAAAGGGAAGCTATATGGAAATATGAGCCATTTGCATTCTGTTTCACGATCTTCCTCTCAAAATATTATTGTCCATCAGTCTCACATCTCTAATTCTTGACGCCCTAAATTTGTCATGAGCACTTACCTTTTGGTTTCTATTAGGCAAAGATGACTATTTATGTACCCCTGTTCTATACACTTTGAATGCAGCTATTGAATCTTGTGATTTTCAGTGAGTATTGTGCCTAAGGTTATCTCTACAGACCTATTTTGAGTCTTGGTGAATTAGGATTTTTCATAGATATTGTCGTTATCAGGGAATAGAAAATGAAAATTTTAAAGCTATATATAATAGGGACCGATTGTTGGATGATATTTTGGCTGTGTACTATTTGTTGACAAATAAAATTTACTGCAGTTGCCAACTGGAATGTTCAGTCATGATTAGTTAATTTCTCATCATTGCAGTAGTAGATGTACATGTGATGAAATTGTACACATGCTTATATCATGAGTTATACCGTTTTTGTAGTCAAATATTCGTTTGCTTATCTCATATTGATGAATTATGTTATTCTCTATTAGAATTTTTTTTTTCAAATCATTTAAAGTGCTTAAGATAACTTTCTTGAACTGCTTTTCAAGTGATTAACTCGATCTCAACTACGATTCAGGCGTGGATATGCAACTGAAAGGCAAAGAGGTCTACTTATAGCTGAGAAATTTGATTACTTACAATCAAAGTTGCTGCAAGAGATTTTCTTCAATCTTTCAAGGCCACTAAAGCAATTCGGAAAGTGGCTCTATGAGGTCATGCTGGTTTGCATTATTTTAGTAATTTACGTTATAATTCTATTTTTCCTATTATAATTGAATAAATTGTCCGTCTGTTAGCTATGGAGATGGAAATTTTTCTTCTTTCGGATTGAAGGTTGTTAAACTTCATCTAACGAATTGATTTGAGATGTTCAAATCTCTAGTTATGTAAAGGAAATGCCTGGCTAATCTGAAAGCTTATGCGAATTGACTATACCATCTAACTTGAAAAACAACCAATCTTAAGCATTGTATTTACCTTGAGTAAATATGCAAATGCAGACAATGGTGGAAGCTGCAGTGATTCTGGCAATAGTGATGATGGAGGAAACAATGACTTGAAGAAAACTCTAGTGGTATAGCAGTTTGAGCTTGAGCTATACTTACCTCAAACTTAGTTGATAAATTTTACTCAACGAGTAGCTTCCTCAACAGTGCTAGCATGCAAAGATAATTTAGTAAGGATTTTATTTTATTATCCTTAACCATTATATATTTTAATGAGTTGAGCTTGGCTGGCTTATGAATCAGCTCGACTTGTACCCCTAGAGAGTTAACACCAGATTTTTCGTATGGATAGAAAGGGAAGGTAGCATTACACCCTTGTTTTGGAAAATGGTACACCCGGACAATACAAAACATAATAAATTGACTTTATCTCAACCTACAAGAAACGTAAGTGCTAACATTGTTCAAGTGAAAAATAATTCATATCTATAAATATTTATAAATAAAGATGTGTAAATCATAAATATGTCAAATGAATCTCTTTGAATCAAACGAATGTCAAATAATTTTTTGACATATTGACTAATAGAAAAAAAAATGAATAATCTACTCCTGCCAGAACTAATCCAGAACCCAAAACAAGTTTAAATACTTAAACATACATAACAACTCAATTAAGTAGCTATTTTTGAAGAGTCTGTTTTTATGGCGATTGCCACAACCTGTCAATTGGGCTTGGAAGAGAATCAATAATAACTCGACAAGATGGGGTTAGTTGATAAATTTAGGGTTAATCCAGTTAGTATAAGCTTGTTCACTATGATAAATAACCACCGAAGAACAATGCTACAAGTTCGAGAATCTCCATTTGATTTATGATATTGATGTGAATCAAACAGGAATTGCTTGCGGAAATTAAGATGAAATTAATTAAAGCGTTGCCAACACAAATTTATCACCAATAAAATAAAGGATTAAATGTTTTCTAGGTAATCAACTTGCTTAGGCGAAGAGTTGCTTTGAGATAACCAAACAATTCATAAACATTCAAAGATAAAAGAACTACTTAAATGCTCATAACAAAATCCCACGATTAATAATGAGAAAATTCACCTCAAGCACCTTCTCACTCAATCACTCTTTAGCTTTTAGCGGAGAAGAAAGAACCACGCGAAGATGGAGTGCACCACTACGGAAAAGGAGACGTAGGACTTTGTTACCGGAGAGGTAGTCGCCGGTGGAGGAGGTGGTGGATGGCGCCTAGTGATTGTCCAAACGAAGTCTTGAAATTGGCGGTCGATGACGTGCACAAGTGATGGGAGAATTCGCTCCAAGTATTCACCAACTGTGTCTTCGTGCTCACACCCCGCGTCGAAGAACAGGGATCGTAGGATGTTGAGACTACCGTCGGCGTTGAACACAAGCCCCCACTCAAATTTGGGATCCGCCATTCAACATTGAGAAGGGGACGGGAAGAAGAAAAGAAAGGAGGAGTTGGGCTGTGAGCTAGGGAGAGACTTGGGGAAAATCTGAATTTGAATTTCAGATTTTCATGGATTGGAGGGAGAGGTTATTTTATCATTATAGTCTCCCTAAATTATATTAAAGAGGGGAGCGGCTATTAGGGGGAAATTAAGAGGTTAATTAGTGGGTGCGTAGGTGGCAAGGAGAGAGAGAGTATGCTAGCATGGGTGG